TCATCTAATGCCACTTGAGCGATCTAACTTTGCATACGTGTTAGGATCGATTGGTGTTGAGAAAAGAGTGCTACTCCTTTGGAAAAAATATTTGTGAAAAGCTAACACACGTGCACAAGGTGGTGATCAGTTGATGGTGTTAGCACATTTGCAAAGATGAAGAACTTGGTAAAGAAGAGGAGGCGAAATCAGGCTCGAAGTGCTGCCTGGGTGGCACTGCCACCCCTGATCCGGTGGCACCGCCACACTTAGGGCGGTGCCCACCTGGAGGCCAAGAGGGAGGAGTTGGCTGGTACCCTGGGGAGGCACCGCCACTACCTGTCCGGTGGCACCGCCACCCCTAGGGCGGTGCCCACCAGACCGAGGCCAAGAGCAGCAGCGTGGGTGACTCGGTCACCGCCGTGTTCAGTGTGCACCGCCATGAGGAGGGTGATGGTACCATCAGGGGCTGCTCGGTGCACTGCCGGGGCATCGCCCCTTTTGTCCAGAGAGCTGGTGTTTCGCGTAGTTGGCCAGGGGGTCACCACCACCCTTATGTCCAGAGAGCTGGTGTTTATAGCCATTGGAATTCGACCGTTAGGGAGGGCACCGTCGTACGGAATCTTTGCTCCAACGGCTCTATTTGGCTTGGGGGCTATAAATAGAGGTGGAGCTCGAGCATTTGGCTAGCTGAGCACCCTTAAGCCTTGGTGGCTTGTGTAGGTGTGCTTGGATGCCCTTTAACTCACTTGTGCTTGCAAGAGTGCGATCCGATTGCGAGTGAGTGTGATCTAGTTTGTTGTATCATGAGGTTGCATCGAGTGGCACTAGGTGATCGAGTTGCAAGCCGGTGGTGCTTGTTACTCTTGGAGGTTGTCACCTCCTAGACGGCTTAGTGGCTTGTGACTCCATTGAAGCATGTGAGAAGATTGTATGGTACTCTGGAGGAGGATTTATGAGGGGGATTGTGCTCACCACGCGGGGATCGTGAAGAGCAACTCTAGTAGAATGTGTCATTGAGCTACCCTCACTTTCGGAGTAGGTTCTTGCGGTGCCCGACGTGCGGGCTTGGCGGGTGATGCCAATTAGTCGTTGAACCACCAAGTGAGTGGTCGACACAACGGGGACTAGCGTGTTGGCAAGCATGTGAATCTCGAGATAAAATCATCGTGTCATCCTTGTCTTCCCATTGGTTTGCATCCTCATTACACAAGCTTGTATTTAGATTCACATATATTGTGCTTGTGTAGTTCCTCTTGTAATTAGTTGACTTGTGTAGTTGGCTAGTTACCTTTTTGCTTGTGTAGCATAGAAGTAGCTCCCTTGCGTGGCTAATTTAGTTTTAGTAACCTTGTTAGTCACATTGCTTAGTTTATGTTGCTAAGTAATTTGGGCTATATAATTTGGCTTGTGTAGCCTTGTTATTGAGCATTGCTAGTGAGCTTAGGAGCTTTGTGTTTTTGCTTACTATAATTGTGTAGGAGCTCCCCCATTGCTTGAAGTACTAGTGCATAGGTTTTTGTGACCTTGCTCTAGAATTGTTTAGGTGAGCTCTAGCTAGCCCGACACCTTTGTTGCCTAATTAGGATCTTGATAAGATGCATGTGAACTTAGGTAGAGGGGTGTAGTCTTGGCTAGACTGATAGTTTTAATTCCGCATTTGTTTCGGTTAGCTGGCGCGATTAGATTTTAGAAAGGACTATTCACCCCCTCTAGTGCGCCATCTCGACTCTACAGAGACAAAGGTATCTAATTCTTTAGAAGATGAGATCTCATTAAACTATGTCATGTCAGAAAAAATTTGGAACCGTGACAAAGTCATCATCGACGATGCATTCACATATAATCTAGCACTAGAAGTTATTGATAAAAATGAGGATCAAGAACCTCACTCAGTCGAGGAATGCAAAGAAAGAAAAGATTGGCCAAAATGGAATGACGCAATTCAAGCAGAATTGAATTCTCTCGCAAAATGAGAAGTTTTTTGGGCATGTAACCCGTATACCAAATGGAGTCAAACCCATTGGCTATAAATGGGTATTTGTTAGAAAATGAAATAAGAAATGAGAAATCATAAGATATAAGGCACGATTGGTTGCCCAAGGATTCTCCCAAAGACCTGGAATTGATTATGAAGAAACATACTCTCTCGTGATGGATGCAACAACTTTTAGATACCTTATAAGTCTGGCAATGAAAGAAAGTCCTGACTTGCGTCTAATGGATGTTGTTACAATATATTTATATGGGTCACTTGATAGTGACATATATATGAAACTACCAGAAGGATTTAAACTGCTAGGAGCTAACTCAATGGTTATACATGAAGACAATGCGGCTTGCATAACTCAATTGAAAGATGGGTACATAAAAGGAGATAGAGTAAAACACATCTCGCCAAAGTTTTTCTTCACTCATGATCTTCAAATGGATGGTATTATAACAATTCAACAAATTCGTTCAGTGAGAATCTAGCAGACTTGTTCACAAAGGCACTCCCTACTTCAGTATTCAAGAAATTGGCACATGGTATTAGATTGCGAGAGCTGAAAGATATCAAGTGATATTGCCATTAGGGGGAGTGAATATGTGTGTCCTCTTTTTTTACTTGGCCATGTTTTTTTTCCCATTGGGTTTTTCTTGGCAAGGTTTTTAACGAGGCATGCAATTCACCAGTTAATGGTCATCAAGGGGGAGAATTATGAAATATTAATGTGGATGTCCATAACTCCTATACCATCAAAGCTACGATCTTCTACTTCATCAATGGTGTAACTCTCCTAGCATCAATTCTTGTAACTCCACCTCACATGTATGGCTATATATTGGAGGCTAATGTATTGCAAATATGAGAAGAGAAAAGAGAACAACTCATTTCCTTCCTCTCTAAGTTTTTTCTCCACATTCTTACATATATATTCTTTATAGTCAAACTAGCTATTAAATAAAAGCTCCCAATTTTTCTAGTCACTTGGAAAACTCATTGATTTACCATTTATTTTTTTGGAAAACTATTGGAGATGCCCTTACATATATATTTTATGCAAATCCATGAGTTCTACTAGTTGATGAGCTCAGATTGGGGTGGGTTGAAATAATAAAATTATGGGGTGGGTGAGTTGGTTAAAAGAGTTAATTTGACATTGGTTGGGTTGAATAAATAATGGGGTTTATAGCAAGCCAGGTAGTAGAGCCTACTATAGTGTATAATATTTTTGGAGGAGGGGTCGCTGGCACAGGCTCTGCTTGGAGGCTCTTATTTGATCGGCTACTAAGGGAGGAAACTTTTTTGAAATAGTAAATTGCATCCGGATTATAAGAAGTAGACTTGTGGATGCAAATTACCCCAACAACTTGTAATATGCTCTATCATGTGCAAGAACTTATCATCTTAGTGCATAGACGGCCCAAAAACCCACCTCTCTGCGTACCTATCATGTTGACAGTTGAGGCTATGATCGGGCTCGTATATGCATGTACACGGCTCGTATTGTAGTTGGCTTAGGTCAGCTAGGAATGAGTCATGATTCCTAATTGTAGTTGGCTGAGGCACAAACACACCACGTCGGAGACAGATTCACTCAGAGAGCATCGACGGACCTCATGACGTGGTGGATCAAACAGAGACGGCGGTTGACCATGGAGAAAATAAAAGGTGTAATAATGCTATTACATGTGAAAAGAATCACAAAACATCCAAACAGGGCCTGAAGGTGCACCAACCAATCTCCCCAGTCTCACAAGGGTATTGACAAGTGTTAAGTTCAGTGTGACCTAACTACTTCATCCTTGTTACAATGAACCAGGTGAGGAGCAAGAAGTTGAAGAAGGTAAAAGTTACGAATACGAAGTACGTGGCAAGTGGAACTTAAATTAAAGGAGTCTTTTTGAATCATGGGCCTCAACGACGTCTTCGGCTTATATTGTTTTTGACGAGGCCTTGTTCGGCTGGCTGAAAAAACGGTTGATGCTGATACTGATGCTGATGCTGATTTATTGTGAGAGGAAAACACTGTTACTTCACTAAAACGGTACGACTGATAAGTTCAAGTGGACATGCTATCTTTAGTGTTCAGTAGCACACTGCATCAATCTTTGATGAAAGGTGTTACTAATATGCTATAATAACTCCCTTCAATCATATAAATGATTTTCAAACAAAGTGGTCATCATCTCATCTTGAACCGTTAATAGCTTTTAAACAGCGGTCCAAAACAATCGAGTTGCGTTGAAATTCACCTATCTCGATGAGACCTGAAATGACATTGTATCACTCAAAAGTTTCGGATCGATTTAAATTTTTAGTATAATCTAGAGTTCAAACAAACCTGCAAGAGTTATTCCTTCAATATAAAAGTGCAAACTCTTACCAAATTATAATACACTCTGCCTCCTCTTGATTTTGGCCGAAATTTGATAAGATATTAGCTAAACAAGATGTTTTGATTGGTCAAAATAAGTGAATTCCAATCTGAAATTTTCAAGATCCATCCATTTTGGTCGTATTTGAATCCGAAAACCTTAGCTGAACTGAACAACAAAAATTATCTCAGACAGCATGGGCGCGCGGTTAGCAATATCAAACTCACTATAAAAAAGGAATTATCTCGAATTAAGTTGGTTGGTAAACTTTTTTTTTTTTGAGGAAAGTTAATTGGTAAACTGGATACTGAAAGAACGAAACTTTAAGAAAAAAAGCTGGAAGGCACGCTTTTTTCGACTTCGTGAGCCCGCCAAGAGCCCGAGACCAGCTAAGTCGGCCCATCCCATTTTACACTGCGCAGCCCACCAATTCGGTGAAATGCGATTGGGTTCAAAACTCAGCCCAACCCATCTAACCCCGACACCGCACAGCCCGCACCAGCACAGCGCCACCGCACTACGGCGTACAGGAAACTGGACAGTTATGCCCGACCGCCTCCACTCTGGTTCTCTCCTCCTCCCTCCTCCCTCCCGCCCAGATCTCCACGAGCTTCCAGAGAGCAGCAGCAGCCTCGCCTCCACGCGCCACGAGGACGGACATGGCGGCCTTCACCAAGCTCGAGGACTCCCCCATGTTCCGCAAACAGGTGGCGCCACTCGCCCCTCTGCCCACGGGGCCTCCCTGATCCGGCCCCTTCGAGGCATTGTTTCGTGTTTCTTGGAATCTCGGTCGTCAGTTGGATTTGGGTTGATTTGGGTGCGTCGAATGGAAGGATTCGATCCGTTGTCGGAGTCTGGGTGTCTGCGACGGAGCTATGGCGGATTTGGAACATTTGTGTGCGGGAGATCTCGGCTTGGTAGCTTGATCCAGTGTGCGTTGATCGTTTTGGATTTGAAACACAGGGATTTCTGAGCAGAGTTGGCGTTTTCACGTGATTTCCGTGTTTGTTTGGACGAATTGGGCATGTTGGTGAGAATTAAGTCAATCATCCTCAGATAGTTCGGGGTTGATTTCTTTGAAGGGGTTAGAACGCTTTGATGACAACGGCGCAACTTTTAAGATCAAAATTTGCTGTTGCATTGCACAACATATCTGAATAGAAGGGGCGGATCCTATTTGAAGTTTGCTCATGGATGGACATGGTGCAAAGGGTAAAGCTTGCTTGAGCAAATTTTCAGCTTGGCTCTAGTTTTTACAATGGTTTCCTGTTTATTTTTGTTTTGCTGAGGACACTAGTTTCCCCATTTCGAATTGATGGTTTCATTTTTTGTTGAATCACCTGCTGGAACAACAACAATCCATTTTTGTTGAATCAGCCTGCTGGAAATTTTATAATGAAATTGGCCCCTCTTAAAAACATCCCTGCTATTCTGTTTCTTATAGAAATCAAACAAAAAAAGAGGTGTAGGCATTGGGCTTAACAATTTTGCTGGGTAACTTGGCTCACTAATTTCTCTCCAGAATTATCAAATTATCTCTGTTTGTTGCCCCCAAAACCTTGTTTTTGAACTTCAAAACAAACCTATACATGCATTTAAATTATTGTCCCGACTTGTTTCCAATACCTGCAGGTCAATTCTTTGGAACAACATACTGATGAACTGAAAGAACGGTGCTCAAACCTGCATAAAGGATGTAAAAGATTCATGTATGTTTCTTGATTATCACCTGTTCCACATTTGCATACATTTGAGGCCTTCTAACTGCACATAACTTGAGGCAAATGCCATAAATGTGTACTGTCTTATTGCATAAGTTTCTGATAAGGCCCCTTCACAAAAATTCCGTTTAGTTCAAGAAATGCATTCAATATTTTTTTCTTTACTTTGCTGTTCCAGGTTTCGTGTTTTAGTTTTTGTAATGTTCCATGAGCTAGTGCTTTTTTATTATGTTGCTAATCACCTTAGTTTCAGGGGATCACTTGATGAGGCATATGCAGGGGATCTATCATTTGCAGATTCTCTGCAAGCATTTGGTGCTGGTCTGGATGACCCTATTAGTGTTGCCATTGGAGGTCAGCAAACCTCTTAAGTCTAATGTGTTCTGTCCTTCCATCCTATCTATATCTAGTAGAACAACAGCAACAACAAAGCCTTTTAGTCCCAAGCAAGTCAGGGTAGGCTAGAGTTGAAACCCAACACATGCGTTTTTTCTGTTTCCATTTTCTAGTTGTCTCACTGTCACTTTGAGTATTTTGGATATTTACGGCATATTTGTTTTAATGTCTGTAGATCAGAACAACAGAATCTTAGAATACAGAAATAGTACAGATACGTACATATCCATGCACTCCTTAATTAATCAAATTTCTCCTATTTAAAATTGCATAGCATGACAATTGATAGCTACAAATTTACAGTCATTTATGGTGTTTCTCTATTCATATTGTCTCAAAACCATATTCTTTACTATGTTGCAGGGCCCGTGATGTCCAAGTTTACTACTGCTTTCAGGGAGCTTGGGACATACAAGGAACTCCTTCGTTCTCAGGTACTACTATCATACACGGTCGAAATTGGACCTATAATTTCTCCTGCATAGGTAGTTCATGTAACACAAACGTAACGAAGAATTGAAAGGAAAATAGCATTACTGTTTTTCTGTCTGAGTTTTCAACTCAACACCAGGGCTTGTTCCTGTGAGTCTGGGCATGATCTGTATTCTTTTCTTGGCATGATCTGTATTAGTTTCAGTTTACAATATTCACATCGTTCCTTTTCTTACTTATGTTTTTGAATTATTTCTGGAACTTCTATACTCAATCTGCCACCTGCAGTTTCACATATTTTACCACCTATAAGGTTCTTGGATTACTTTGTAAATTTCAAATATATTCAATAAACTGAAAGCACAAGTGATAAAATAAGGGTTGGAATTTGCAGAACCACAACAGAAAAAGTATGAGCGATGCATTTTTTATTTGTTGAAAGATATTTATTTCTATGTTGCTATAAATAAAACAGATAGGAAGAAAGTGCCAAAAGGGTTCCTTGCATCCAGTAGTGGCTGCATTATCTAGAAGCAGGAATTTTGTGTTGAATATAATAATCATTTGTTCTATGATGGACTTTTTGTTCGCCCTCGCAATACACTGATGTACTAATCTGATGTCTCTAGATTTGGTAAATTTCTTTTGCTCAGGGCATGCTGATATATCACTTGTATAAACAGCACAAATGACTATTTTTTTGCATTCTAATTATAATAAGCATTTTCCCTCCAAACAGGTTGAGCACATGCTTAGTGATCGCCTGTCACAGTTCATTAACGTGGATTTAAATGGTGTGAAGGTAAACTCCCTCCTCTCCTTTCCGCCTGAAATCCACTCAACACAGCATACTTGTAAGTTGTAACTAATATTATTGTGTAACTGATAGGTTGTAACTGAAGTAAACAATATATTAGGTCAGGTGTTGATCTTTTCAATGGGCAAATGACTTTTATGCTTGTGGGACCAGACTTCAACCCTCTTGCTTCCGAGTTCGGGCAAGGAACAAAAAACCTTAAATAGTCCTAAAATCTGTGCCTTCCATCTTGGGAAATACTCCCTCCGTCCACGAATAGAAGGCGCAACTCCCTCCGACGCAAAGACCAAGATGCGAATTAAATGTCGGGCCTCCAAATTACTGTGACGCTGCATGCGTGCATGCAAAAAACCGGCTGCCCAATTAGCTTCCACATGAAATCAATTAGCGTGTTGTCTTGTGGCCCCAATCGCTTCATTTTCTCGGCCTCATAGGCCATGCGACCGTGCATGCATAGGAACCGAGGAGTCAATTAGGCAGCATAATAAATACTGCATGCGTGTAAAGACTTGGCCGTGCATGCATATTACGGGACAGTAGAAAAAAACAGTTACGCCTTCTATTCGCGGACGGAGGGAGTAGGAACAATTGCCTTTCCATATGGACAGTAATGTGGAAGGTAGATTTTAACACATTGCTTACTTGATATATGTTCTTTACTTGCTCTGTATAGGATTGTCGGCGACGTTTGGATAGGGCTGCAGTGGCTTATGATCAGGTGATGCTTTGATTTTGACTTATCTGACTACCTTCTTTATTTTTGTTCACGCGGCATGTGTTAGATGATAAATTACCGAACAGTGTGACCTTGTTTTTCTATACCTTTAACATGTTAGTGTAATACACTGTGTATTAAGATTCTGGTGCTATTTGTCAGGCACGTGAAAAATTTGTGTCAGTGCGAAAAGGGACTAAAGCAGAAGTCGTGACAGAACTTGAGGAGGTACGTTGTGAACTTCTGACTAGCCTTTTTTTTTAATTTTGTTTTATTCTATTTTATGGGCTAGATGAATGTATATTTAGCTTTCATGCCGCCGCTCTAATTCTAAGTTTACAGGATCTACACAATGCCAAGTCAGCTTTCGAAAGATGTCGCTTTAACTTAGTATGTACATCAACATTTTTCCACATGCAAGTATATTGTTCAGCCTTTCCGATGATTGACTTTGCTGTAAGGAATTCAGGTACATGCCCTTGCGAACATTGAAGCAAAAAAGAAGTATGAGTTCTTGGAATCAATAAGTGCAGTGATGGATGCCCATTTGAGGTATTTTAAGCAGGTATGGAGTCCTTTCTATGTGCTTAGTAATTTCTGGTCTTTCGGTTGCTTGGGTTCTGATTTGATTCTTTATGATATAGGGATATGAGCTACTGAGTCAAATGGAACCATTCATTCACCAGGTTTAATAATGTCTCATGCCACAGTGGTCTTTAAAAGAAATATTCAACCTTATCAACATGACCCAGCTAACCAGGAGTTAACAATTGCTGTGCTAAGCTTGAAGTGTTGATGCAGGTTCTAACATATGCACAACAATCAAAACAAATGGCTGTAAGTGAGCAAGATAAGCTTGCAAAGAGAATTCAGGAGTTCAGAACTGAAGAGGAAATAGCTAATGTGAGAATGGCTAGCAACGTAGACACATCTACTAGCGGTGATGGTATCCATGTTGTTGGCCTTCAGTCCTATAAAACGATTGAAGCATTAATGCAGCCAACTGTCAACGGCGAGGTATAATTATCTGTTGTGAAGCAAATTAATAAATCTTCACCAATACCAGGATAAACTAGCTTAAAGCTTATTCATGCTGCTTCATATGATGATTGAAGAGACTCAGTGTTGATAGATAGAATTTACATGTAGTTGAGATGAGCTTTTCTAACATTGTACTAATTTGATATGCATGAGCCTTCCTATAATCAGAATCCAGGCAAGTGGTATCCATGATTACCGCCATTTTGGTTCAAAATATAGTATTTATTCTTACATCATTTCCCTTTTGTAGTTATACTGGGCTGAAGTTTTATTGTTTGGTAATTCATAATTCATAATTGTTTTGTGAACTTCTATTGCTTGTCCTTACTAGCCTGTTTCTTTGCCAGGTTCAAGTTATTAAACAAGGTTACCTATTTAAGCGTCCTCAAAATACACGTGGTGAATGGAAGAGGAGATTTTTTGTGCTTGACAGCCATGGAACTCTGTACTACTATGGGAATAAAGGAAAATCGGTATGCAATCTGATTATCTGAATTGGCTTGGGAACATATACAGAGCTTGGCACTCAGTGTCAGGAGTTCTTATTCTTTGCTTGCATGAGTAGGCAAATTTGTATTTGTGATGAGCCCTGGTTGGGTTGGGGGTGATGGCGTGATGGAGTATAGCAGGAGAGGGAGGAGGCGTGCGGCCAGGGAGAGGGAGAGAGGAACAGTGGAGAGCTGGAGAGGGATTAGAGGGAGGAGATAGGAGGATGAACCTCTATTTCTTTCTTAATCAAAAGGGTACATCTTTCCCTATATTTATAGTCCCTAGTGGACTTGCACACCAAGTAATCTATGGGTAGAATCCTTATAGATCTGGACTCTCCTTTGCTAAACAATCTCTATTTTCTTTTATTCTAATCCTTATCTAGTCCTATTCCTAATTCTTTTCTATTCCAGACTCCTCCTGGGGGGAGGAGGCTGACGGCTTCTCCCGAGCCGTCGCCTCCCCTGCTGCGCATGCGGCCAGGCAGCCTTGGCCCAGGCTCCGGTCGCCCAAGGCCCTCCTTTGGGCCTGGCTGCTATTACTAGCTGCAGACATGAAACTTACTAGCTAAGGAAAGTCTGCTTGGCCTGCGTGGAGAAGCTTCTTAATGGCAATGACGTGTGTGTGTGGTGTTGTTGTTGTTGTGGTGGTGTGTGTGTGTTGGGGGGGTTCTTTCCTTGCAGGTCTCAGAACCAGTTTTTTTAGGGTTGCGGTACATAATTTGCACGTCAAAATTTATGTGCAGTAGATATTTCAAGGGATGTGCTGGATTATTTTAAATGCAGTGTATTGTATAATTTATCCTAAGATGCTAATTTGCTTATGTTGTTTTTTTCTGTACTTTACATGTACCTGTTTCTTTTATTCTCTTGGAAGCAAGGAGTGTCATCACAACAAACAGCTGGTGAAGGAACTGGTGTTTTTGGTCGATTCAGATTCTTGAACCAAAGAGCTTCATCTCAGGGTGAAGATTCATTATCATGTCATAGAATTGATCTCAGAACTTCAACAATTAAGATTGATGCAGAAGAAAATGATTTAAGATTTTGCTTCAGAATAATCTCACCCGTTAAGACATACACATTACAGGTAACTGCGTAGTCCTCAGATATCGAACTTTCTTTGTGTAATTCATGTTTTTGGTATTTCCTGAACAACAGAACAAGTGAATAACACATTTTATGATTTTTTTCATTCTTTGATACACCAATGGCCCGATGCCACATGAATGCTTTTAACTTTGTTTATGGCAGGCGGAATCAGGGGCTGATCAAAAGGACTGGATCCAGAAAATTACTGGAGTTATCGCATCGCTACTAAATTCACCATTCCCGCAGCAGGTTTGCTGCAGCCATTTCTCTTTTGCTGCATCATATAACTAGTCTTGGTTTACCTTTTTGGTTGAAACAAAGGATAGATCTATTAAACTCCATGCATTGACACTGGATAATCATGAAGTAATAATGCTTAGCCTTCCTAATTTGGCTCCATTTTAATGCATTACATGCATATGTTCAATCTTTTGATTTATTCAAGATATGGTACTAATTTTGTTATTCTGATTTCATTTCATTTCAGTTGTCATATGGTAATGTAGCAGCAGAGAGTAACAGATCCGCAAGTTCTGCTGATTCTTTGTCTATTGAAGATAACAAGAGTTCAGAGGGACATGATGATGTATTCAACCTTCTGAGGAATATCCCTGGAAATGACAGTTGTGCGGAATGTCGTTCTCCTGATCCTGATTGGGCATCTCTAAACTTGGGTATTCTGATTTGCATTGAGTGCTCTGGGGCTCACAGAAATCTTGGAGTGCACATTTCAAAGGTGCAATAACTAGTTTCCTTATACCTTGATATATGCTAATCAGTGATAATGTTTGGTTGGCCATATCTTTTGTAGAAAAGTTCAGATTCTTGGATTTATTCACTTAGTGATGATAGATACAGTAAATATATTACTGCATATCTTACTATAGTGCAATACTGCTTTTGTTCTCATTAATTGTCATTTTTGACATCGGCATCTCCAATACAAAGCTTTAGCGATTACGCGATCTAATTATAATTAGAAAAAGTATATATACTTTTGATTTGCATATAATATAACATTTATTTCCAAGTGGTAAATTTAAGTACTTCTATGTGGTAGTGAACCATGCATAAGTTTTAAAGACTTGGTATGAAAGGGAACACTTTGATTTAATACATTTGCTTGTTTTTTTAATAGATGCGCCTTTCATTTTTATCTGGTAATGAATGTGTGACCTCGAGAACTAGTATTTTTTGTTATTATATACGATATCTCGTAGTCCTTAAGATTTTAAAAATCTTATCAGTCAGATTAAAAAAAGAAAGCTATTAGCTTGTTCCATATGTCAGTGTCACAGCTAATGTTTTTACTTGATGCAGGTTCGATCCTTGAGACTAGATGTGAAAGTCTGGGAGCCAGTAATTATGGATCTCTTCCATGCACTAGGAAATGATTACGCTAATTCCATTTGGGAAGCTCTTCTTCCAAAAGAAGATCAAGGGTATGTTAAAGCATACAATCAGTTCTGCATATGACTTCACTACTTTTCACCTTGACATTTTAACCAATTTTCTTCCGGACCACACCACTTGATTTCTAGTCTGTAAGCTGTGGGACATTCACTAGTGTAGACTAACATAGAAGCCAACAAGTTAGTGCTAGCATGAATTGTGTGTACAGGCTGCCTGTCCTCGTACATGTTGTTTCTTTGAAACAGCACAATCAATTCAGTTATAATCAATTCAAATATTTTTTATCAAGTAATATTTAGGCATTTCATAAAAATGATTTACGCTTTCTCAATAAAGGAGAGGTTCCATTGACAAACATAGTATCACAAATACAATGGAGTTAGCATTGTAGACCAAATTAGGACCATTGTAGACCAAATTAGGACTTGATTTTCCATTGAACTTTTAGTGTTTACTGAAATCAATGTGTTTCACTGTGGGTGGTGAATGCACAATAGCACGATGAACATCATTCAACATGGTGCTTTCTCATCTGCAAATTCCAGTGTTTATAGCTTATTCAGCAGGCATCGATATTGTAGTAGTTTATTTCTTTCTTTTCATGCCTGTACAATATTCATCAGTTTTGTAGTTATAATATTCCACAAAGAAGTTAGAAAATAACTATCTGATTGTTGAGTTAATTCGAATCATGTCATTACTATTTGTCTATTTTGAACCATGCCCATTACAATTCCCTCTCTTCCTGAACCGTGCTGTTTTCTACGTTCTCAAAGGGGCCCACATGCAGACTTTTTGTATGACCCAAAATGCCTTGATACTCCCCTCTCTCTACCTCACTAACATGCGGGGCCCACAGTGATTCCCTTTCTCGCCTTCCTCCACCTAAGGTTCTTGTTAGAATGACATTATCCTAGCCATTATTGATCTTCTATCTCAGTCAGTACTGATCCTAATAGCAGATCATTGATCATATCTACATGTACTTTTATACCCTGTATTAATTAGGCTAATTAGAGGATAGTAGATGATATCTTTGATTCTTTCTTTGCATGTATACTCACTGTTGTGAAGTACAGCCTACAGCAATAGAGAATTTATTCCACCTATCTTCTTTCATGGTATCAACCTAATACACGATCCTGCGTCTCCTTTTCTCTCTTCCCGCTCCTCTCTTTTTTTTGAGCATAAGGTACAGCTGGGGAGACCTCACCTGTAGAATTGTTTTAATAAAAAGAAACTGTACAAAAAGGGCTTTGCCCAAGACAAAACAAAAACAACAGCGGATGCAAGCCTGAGATGGGCTGCAAAGCTAAGCTAGAGAGTCTATACAAGGAAGGAACTCAAGGCGTTTGTCATCACAAAATCTATGAGCCTGAAGTCTAGCTTCTTCACAGAAGAAGCTTTTTCATGAATCAAAGGAAGGACGGCCTCTATCAAAGATGAAGTTGTTTCTATGGAGTTGCATGTGTTACGAATAATAGAGGCTGAACTAGATAATAGTATTGCGGCCCAAAGGGACTATACATAAGTACATGAGAGACATAGGAGGGAAACGCTAGACTAGGAGATTACACTAATACCCTTGACTATTATACCTTAACACACCCTCTCAAATGCAATGTCATTACATTTGAAGAGTTGGCACTATGCACTAAGACGTCGCTCCTCTCTTTCTCACCATGTAGCCACAAGCAGATCCTGCTGCCACACTAGCTGCAGGCATTGCTGCTGTTCTTCCCCAGCCACAGCGAGCTAATCCTGCTGCTGCTCTCTCAGCCATCTACGTCCATTCTCATATCCCTTTTATTCTAGAGCTCAATCCACCCAATTACAGCATTTGGCGTGAGGTTTTCCATACTCTTGTGGGCAAATACAGTGCCATGCATGATGGCACAGCAGCACCAGACCTCCTACTACTTGGATGGCAATTAATTATGCTGTATGCTTCCTCATCTACTCTTCTGTTTCAGAGATCCTTGGCAGCGTCCTCACGCCTGGTGCCACAGCGCATGCAATCTGGACTGCTGTTGAAGGTCTTTTCCGCGACAACAAAGCTTCATGCGCCCTTGCACTTGAGGCGGAGTTCCACAGTCCACACCACGGAACAAGGCGACCAGACGGTGCTCCAGTACTCAGCAACGCCTGAGGACTCTGGCCGACTCTCTCACTTACGTTGGCCAGCAAGTATCCCCCGACACTTGGGGGTTGCAGTTGCTTCATGGCCTCAACCTCAGCATGCATAGTTCCATGGCGATAAATCTTCAGGCTCCATAAGCAGTGCTCAATCCTCATCCTCAAGCGCTCACAAACTGCGGCTTCCCCACCTACAACCCGTGGACTGGGAGTTTTCAGATGTGGTCAGTACCTCCCACACCTCCTGCCGGCTCTCCTCAGGTGTGGGTGTGGTGCAGGAATGGTGCCGGTGACGTGCAGGCGCCACACGGCTGGCTTCAGGCCGGCTTTGGTGTCCGCCGCCACCATGTGTTGTGCCGCGTGGGCCGTTGCAGGAGAGTGCAGTTGGAAGAGCTTGGTCGAAGGTCGGCCAAGCAAGCACACATGTCCGAAGCTTAGCAGCAAGTGCTTGTCAGTGTCCATGGAGGAGGGAGGGGAAGACGCGCAGGTGATCGGCGAGTAGTTGAGCACTCTGGATGTGGCGGCAGCAGTGGCTGGTGGGAGCCATTGCTGACAATGAGAAGAACCAGATGAAGAAAAGGGTAATTTAGGCAATATGGAATACAGTCGCCTGCATGTGGTTCCAACATCTTCAAAAACGTAGAAAGTGCACGTTTCAAGTATAAAGCGAATTTTAATGTTATGTTTCTACGTAGACAAATAGTAATGGCAGATCTCCGAACCGTGACATTTATAATGGCATGGTTTGAATTAACCCTTGAGTTATATGCGGCCACTGACCCTATTTCTAGCCATTACTCTCTCTGGTCCAGTATACAAGGCATCTTCTAACATGGCACTGTCTCCTAAATTACACTTTGACCATTCATTTATTTTATATTATAAACTGGTGATTGTTTGATAGGACATTTGGTTACAAATGTAATAGTATCAAGTTTGTATTACAATAGTTAAAAATTGTTAGCCAAATTATTGGTCAAAGATTATAAAGTTTGACTCTTGACCTACGCAAAATGCACGGGAGGGAGTAATAGTGTTGCAACTAATATGTTTTGGAGTGCACGCATGGAGAGCAAATGCTGCTGTTTTTCTTTTTGTGCAATTTCCTTCTTGGCATTTTGTTATTTTATTCTATGTTCATCCAGAATGGACGAATCAAATGGAGCTATTCTTTTTATTGAAAAGCCTAAACCTAGTGATGCTTTCTCAATAAAGGAGAGGTACATACAAACAAAGGTAAGCTCTTCAATTCCTTTTATCTTTGATCAACCTACTGATGGTTTCTCCACAATCAATATATGACCTATCATGCATTTATTGTCTGATGTTAGTGACAGGTATTCCCTGAGTGGATGAACATAGTTTGATTCTGTTGTCATTGCCATCTGTTTTATATTTTTAGTTTAGAAACATTTTTTGCTTTAATTTCCATCTTTATGGAACTAAATCATTTGTTTCAGAGAAGCTAACCAGCCCGCTAACGCAGGGAGTTCTAGGAATGTATTACACAATTACTGGAGGCGCCCTTTCTAGTTTCTATCAAATTCTTGTGGACATACATATTTAGTGTAGTGAGCAAAATTTAGATGGACAATGGAGATTCCCTTATGATGTAACCTTTGTTACATCTTATAGTCGGAGTCAAGTTTTGGCCCTGGGCTTTTGATACCAAGCTAAGCCAAATATATCATTCCTTATGAACTATAATTGTATTGTTGGATAGATAATCTGCTACTTGCATGTGCGGCAAATCATCTTTGACCCTAATCAGAATTTGGATCAGCTTTAACTAATCAAATAGCAAGCCACAACTATGAAAACCTTCCAAGCTGAAACTATGTTCAAAGAGGGAAAGAAATTTTATGACATAATCCTTTTTTTACAAAAAAATAATACTTAGACTGATGGGGAGAGATGGGCAATTCATTTATATTCCAACACTCCCCCTCACGTGGAGGCTTCCTTAGGCCTCAGACGTGGAATAGGAGCGAGCAACAATTATTTTATTTAATAAGCCAAGCTAATAATATGAGAGGTAGAGGAAGACCGAAATTGTCATGGGGGGAGGCAATAAAAAGAGATTTGAAAGCTTGGGATATACCTAGAGATCTATATTTGAATATGAGTACTTGGAAAGCAGCTATTGAAGTGCTTGAACCGTGACTTGGGGCTCTTGGTGGGTTTCAACTCTAGCCTACCCTAACTTGCTTGGGACTGAAAGGCTATGTTGTTGTTGTTGTAATTGCGCTAACCAGGATTCGAACTCGAGACCTCTGGCTTTGATACCATATTAAGTTGCCTGCACCGACCAGTTCAGCCCAAAAGCTTAAGCTGATGGGGAGAGGTGGGCAATTCACTTATATTCCAACACATCCATATCATAATATTTGTCTATAGCCATCATTCGCATGGACCAAGGAAGTATTGAATCTAGGGGAAAAAGTTAAATGAGAAATTGCCACATACACCCTAATAAGATGATGTCGTACAGCTTCTCTTTTAAAACTTGAAAGAGTTGTATAGTAGAAATATCGCAGCAACTTCACTCGTAATTTCCTTGGTTGGCTGGCTAACATTGTGAAAGAATGCTTTCCAAGAAAGTGGATGGATATTGCAAATTTTAGAGTATTTTCCTTGGTGGGCTGGCTAACATTGTGAAAGAATGCTTTCCAAGAAAGTGGATGTTTATTGCAAATTTTAGAGTATTCATCAGTTTGCATTTCCTCATTTTGTAAGGGCCTTTGTTCATATTTACCAGACTCTACATGCATATATTTGAGCCTACTCAGATGAATACAAGTGCTATTCATTAAAACAAACATGCGCAGCATGATATAGTGCTGTTAGTTTGTCTCATATATGTTTGCTTCTGATGAACATTTCCTGTTAGTATCATGTTGTTCATTCTCATAAATGATCCATGCAGTATGTCGACAAACTGCTTTTTGCCAGAGATCCCGATCAGATTACCATTAATATTTTGGAAGCTATAAGGAAAAATGATGTGAGAGCAGCATATCAAATTCTTGCAATAGCTGAAGTCGGTGCTAACATGACATATGATGCTTTGAGCAAAGATGCCCATCATGTTCAGCCAGTGACAGACAAGATGTTACTTGATCCAATTTCTTGTGAGATAATTCAGGACTCTGGGAAACCAGAAGGCTGTCTACAAGGTTGTTCTTTATTGCACTTTGCATGCGAATATGGTCATCCTATAATGGTGGAGCTTCTTCTACTTTTTGGCGCGGATATTAATATGCAGGACTTCCATGGCCGAACACCATTGCACCATTGTGTCCAAAAGAAAAATGATGAACTCACCAAGCATCTGCTGAAGAGGTAGGCTTGAATTCTTGATAATATTTGTTTCATGATTAGTTTTATTTGCAATATCATCAGCAGCTTCATATTTATGCCCTCATGCCATGTTGTTCATGATTCCCAAACTATCTTTCCACTTGAGTTTTTTACTATTTCAGTGTATTTAAATTTATCTTTGTATTTTCGTTTTGTTCAGTATAAACTAGTCAGTGACACATTTAGACTTTCATTTGAACACCAAGTATACATGAAAAATTCTCAAAAAGTATATTGAGCTCGTTCATGCAAATGTGTCGTTCTGTGTCCAGATTCACTGATCACTGTAAAAAAGGGCATTATGAAGGTTTATTGCCTCAATTTTTAGTCTAATGAAGACTCCACGTTTCCTCTGTGCGCATTCTGGCCATTTGCTTTCTTTGCCTGTACAAAGAACACATTCTTCGTTTATTTTCCCTTGTTACTACTATGATTTCCTTATATTGCTGCCATAATTTTCCTTCACAGATTATGGAATACATACTTATAGATGGGAGGCATTTTTCTAAAGAACTATTATGATCCTTTCTACAGGGGTGCGAGAACAACAATTAAAGATGGCGGAGGTCTGACTGCTCTGGAGAGAAGAATGGAACTTGGAGCAATAACTGATGAAGACTTATTCATACTATTTGTGAGGTATGGTCGAGGTGGTACTTTATAGCCTTGGATTGCTGATAATCTCTATTTAAGAAACTCTCCTTGTGAATGATTCTTATAATAAAGTAAAGCTAGAGGCCTCATCTCCAACTTTGTTCCCCTAAAAAGGAAGGGGAAAAGTGCCTTGCGGCCTTGTGGCAATGGCAGCCTGCAAGTTCTATGGGTTCAATACCTGCCATTTTAAGTGAATGTGTGATTCGATCTCAAGATTGCCATTTTTCTTTGTATTTAATTGGGCAGCATCTCACAGTGTGAACAACATGCTTGTGCAGGTGATGTTGCAATACAGGGCTTTGGCAACTAGCTGTTTGTACCTGATAGCATTGTTGTACCCACCTAATTTCGCTTCTGGAATGAACACGATTTCTACACCTGAAGACAAAATGGCTTTTACCGTACGTACCATGATATAACTTATCTGACTTAATGCGCTTGGCTGTGTTTGTAAATTCCACTGTTCGACGTGACCACGTCGCTGGTTTGTACAACAGTTATAGGCAAATATACATTATTGATTCTTTGAATATGATTATTGAGGTTTTAGTTTTTGATGCCAAGCATGTAAGGAAAGAACACATGATAACCATGCATGCATGTTACCGTTGTGCAATTTTCTTTCTTTTATTTGTTGCAAATTTGCAACTGTACCGCATATGGTCGAGCTGTAACGATTACTGAAATTTGCGGGTATGTGTATCCTGCACGATATGAATCAACTTAGAAGATCAAATATTCAGCAGGCACAATGCCTGGTCATGCACAATCAACCTTGTTTTTTTTTTACTTGATTCCAACGATCTAACTGATGCATACACAATCCATCAACTATGAAAATGCAAGACATTTGATTTTGGTTATTGCAGCCTTATAGTTATAGGTAGCCTGTTGAACTGAGACGTCCACACTCCTGCACACCACTACTTGCAACACTGCTCCATTCAAGCACAGCAGCAAGAGCACTAACAGCTACCATCGTCACTGGATGACAATGCTAACACGTTGATACGCCATCGTCATTGTTTGCGCCATCGTTACTGATGATGACCCACACCGAGACTGCCACTACTATGCAAGTGCAGCCGCCACGGGCCGCTGCAACCTGCAAGTCGTCAGTCGTCACGCCACTGCCTCCGCTTGCACCGTACCAAAAGTTAGTCACCAACTTTTGATTAGTATTTCTCCAAAGGTTTAGAGCCTAAATATTTAAGTTGGTATGTTTCTTTTGTGAGGAAACGCCGTATGTTGTTTTGTGGCAGCTTGCTCTGGAGTTTCGGGATACCGCCACTACAGCGGTGCCTATACATAGGCAAATAATACATGCACGTTTGAGACCCAAAAACGCCGTGGCCCGGAAATCACGCGGTTATAAATTGGATTCCACCAGACGCGTCTCCGTGTTGCAGCACTACCTAAAGCTAAAGGCCATGCACAGGAAAGGGAGACTCGGCCTGCACAAAATGTCCACTACTCGATCGGAGCATCCATCCTAATAACTCGACAGGGTCGGCATCTCATCCTCTCTTTGCATTTGGAAAAACGACGACCTTCCTGAGATCTGAAGCATAGACAAGAGTTATGCTGTGGCAAAGTGGTGCTCTGCTGGTTTGTGTTTTGTATCAATTGTAAAGGTTTTTAATGGATGATATTGCGCTCTAAGCTGTCGGATGTTGCCAGGGGCGAAGCCAGCTCAAAACCAACCTGGCGTACACTCTATCAAACATAAAGGAATGTGTACAATTTCTAAAGAAATACATGGAAAATTTAAGACAGATATTAGCAAACTTTTATTTTACCATGGTGCACGTGCACCAGAGAAAGCCAACGTGGCTTCGCCCATGTTGCAGTCATCTTCTGGGCTGTAATACTCTGAACCCGTCTGTTGATAATTAAAAGACCAGAGCTTGGCTCTAAAACTTCTAAGAAAAAAAACCTTCCTGAGATCTTTCAGGTTCAAGCACTCATAAAAAAGGAGGAAACGTTGATCATAGTATTTGGCAGCCTTCCGCTTTGTAGATGTGGTGTGCGGCACCGGCCGGCACGGGTGGAAAATGACCAAAGCAGTGAGAACTGCGAAAGCTTAGTCAGGTCAAGTGCTGTAGCCATGAAACAGCTACCTCCACTAGGCCACTAGTTCACCGTGATCATTAGTAGGTATGGAGAACGACAGAACCAAAATATCACGACTATGGGCACCATTCATTGCTTCTCAGAATTTTGTGGGTTGTTATTAGGTTAGGCAGGACTGTCTTGGTTTCCGCCTGGTTTAGAAACACATCACTTCCGTATTCCCTTTAATATAGACATATTGAAAGAGATTAAGGTGGGAATTTATAAGGTATTTGATTTGAGGAATCAAACCATTCTAGATGAGATGATACAACATTTATTGATTCATTCTCTTGGAATTATTGTTGTGAAGGACCGAGAACGACGGCGAGAGGGGAGGAGGGTTGAATGGGAGCCTAAAATTTTCTTGCGAAAAGCTTAAGCCTCTGTCCCAAATTCAATCCCAAAAGCAAAGCACGAGTAAAACCGTATCCACGCACACTGGCGGAGCTACGTTAGGGACAAACTGGGTCCTGCCCCTCCTGCTCTGCAGTTCCACCATGAATACATGGCTGCACCACGTACTAGAAGTTTGCAAGTCGCTGCATGCATGCAATTAATTACTACCTCTCTTGTTGTCTTAAGCTTGCTAGCTACCGCTTGATGATGAGTGAAAGGCAGCTTGCAACTATGCCAATCTCCGCACATTGTCCATTCTTCTTTGACATGATTTTTTTATTGTTCAATGCAGTCTGAATACAACTTGAAGAAACAAAGGTCTTTCCACGGAATTTCAATTTTCTCTATTACTGTTGGTAAATACTGTAGCAGTGTAGGTTTGAATCTGGCCCCCCCCTACACATTCAGGCACGCTCCACCACTGTCCACGCAAGCTAGCTTGTAGCGAGATGGACTAAGAAATACTCAAGAACCACAGCCGAACAGACGAGAGAAGACTCGGAGAAGAAACAACAATGACCGGGCGATCTTCCCATGCAGCACCGGATATCTCGGTGCTGAGCACTGGTGTCCACACCGGACACCTCCGGTGTGCCTCAGCCAAAACGGGTGAGTGCGAGACTCTCTAGATGCCTTGTCCGGTGCGATCGATCCGGTCACCTCGGTGCAAAATGAAAAGCAAAGGTTGCGAGCGAGGGTCTGCTCTGCGCCATGCAGTGCGGGTGTCGTATCCGGTGCAACCAACCGGTGCACACCGGTTACGCTGGTGCTGGACCAAAACAAACAGCAAGCACCAGTCGTATCCGGTGGGGCGACCGGTGCCCCCGACGGAGATCCGATACTCTCCAACAGCAGTGACCTCAGATCAACTCTAACTTTCACGAAATTTAAACCAAATGGACACAAGTAAGTTGGGAGGCTATCTTTAGGAAACCATCGCCTAAGACTTAGCCAAACATCGGGAATTTCAAATCATGAGCAAGAACATAGTTTTTCTCCTAAAAACGAAATCCGACCCGATTCTTCGTGCTCGTGTGAAGCCGATTCACTCAGAAAGTAGTGTAAACACACATCCTTGCACGATTTGAATGGATTAAAAGCACCGCAAACACTCAAATTGAAGAGATCGAGCAAGAACAAGAAAATGAGATACCGGGAGAGAAAGAACCGCAAAACGTGAATCAAAACACAAACTCAAATCTTGAAGCCACGAGGACAACCGGAGGTTAAGGCTTCCATTCCCACTTAGATCAGGTTCAGAATTTGATTTACACAGATGAACGATTTACTAAATCATCTACGGATCACTAAAGAAGTCTAGAGGAAGAAACCCTAATTAACAAGGATGAAAGAGAGACTGGCTGGAGAGATGAGGCTGATTGGGGCAGCCCTCCTCTTATTTATAGAGACTATTACACATTTCCAATATACCCCTCGGTAATTAGAGCAAACCACCTAACCCGAAAAATATTATGGCCCAACTCAGAGATCCGCTGATTCGATGGCCACGCGCCTTCATGACTTAGCTTCGCCTTGAGGCAAGCTCGTGATGACGCCACATGTCGCCACCGATTCTTGACGGAACCACACCCGGGTTTGAGGCCAAAACCTGAAAATCGTCCACCGGTGGTTTTGAGGCCCAAACCATCAAACCACTCGCGGGTAGCGTACTCCATACGCTTGCCCCATGAACTCGACATGTGTCACCGTCGTCCTTGACCGCCCGGCCGTCAAGTCCTCCGGCGCCTCCGCTTGACTTGCCCAACCGCCGTCTTGACTTGGTCAACACAGGCCACTTCCCATGTACTCTTGCACTTGTCAATGACCCTAAGTGTTAGCCACCACGGTTAGTCACCCGGCTTCTCCGGTCCCTCGGTCTAAGCCCGGCATCCGTCCTTCACCACTTCTAGTCTATCGGCACGAACCCGTTTGACCTTCACCTTCGCCATTGACCATCGTCTCGGAGCTCCACACCTGCGCATCACAAGCTAAGAGACATGTTGCACAATCCAAACTCATGTCTCGGTTAGTTTAACAACTCAACCCAAAGCGTTACTCATGTTGAAAATCACTCATCACAAACCGAACCACATGGGTACATCGACTATGTGTTCGCATGTTGCTTTATTGCATTGTTCAATCTAGATTTTTTAATATAATCGGCAACTCTTCTGCTTATTCGTTTTCAAAAGGTGATGCATCAAGAGACTATTCCTCAAATTTAGTGGGATGACTCCGTTCCTTACACTAGTATTAATTATTAGCTTGTAAGGAATGAGGTGATGATACGGATACGTCAACTCATTTCATTCTACAAACCAAACAAAAAAAATGAGTAAGAAGATGATGGACTAACCCATTCTTCAAACTAAATACCCTAGCAATTAGTTTATTTTTCACTCCAATCTATATGGACGGGAGAGATTGAGTATCCAAACAATAATGAGGATTCTTAACCTCTTTGGTGATGCTATTTTGAATTTAATCTTTGTTAATTAGTTTGTTAGACTTTTAACATAATTATTTATTCGGAGAGGCTAGCGCTCGGACGTCCGGACGGACGCCCGCGCCTGCTCCGCCTCGTCTGCTCGGATTCACGCACTGCCCGTGCCGACACCATTTCACGCGTGCATGCAGGACCGCTCCAAACCGCTCGGATGACTCGCCTCCACCCCCTGCTCAATCCCTGTGCAGACGCGTCGGGCGTCGTTCACCTCTATGGCCTTAGACTCCTCTGCTGAGGAATCGCACGCCTCTTCCACACCGGCGCCGTGCGGTCTACGCCTCCCCGCGTCGGTGGCCGCGGCCTGGCCCTGCCGCCCTCGTCAACACCAGTGCTGGCGGTTTGCACTTGCTAATGACTGAAACAGATAAAACATTTGGAATATACACCTGCAACATGTGTATAGCCACTGCAACATATGCAACATCCAGATAAAACACTTGTAACATACGTCTGAAAATAGATGAAACATTGATTAGACAATTGCGACATACCTTTGAAACACTTGCAACATCCCAATCTACTTTTGTAACATCCATATGAAACACTTGCAACATATCTTTGAAACATCTAAAATCCTTGAAACATACATTTGCAACATAAAGTTTCAGCACAACATCTCCTTGCCGTCGCGTGTCGCGGCGGCCACAACCTTCATGGTGAGGAACTGTAGTAGCGGAAACACAGAGTGGGCGCAGCGGGGGATGGAGCGCTGCGTAGGATGGGGCAGCCGCGCGGCGCGCGATGAGGCGCGTGGCGGGGGAAGGTGGCAGCAGTGAGGTGGAGTGGGACGGGCGGCGTCAGGCGGATGGACTCTGGTTTTCTAGCATTACCGTTATTTATTGTACTAACAAGTTATTTGTGCGAAGGTTCGCTTCAGGGAAACGGGACACAAGTCAGGTTCAAAGACTCAGCGGCTGCAATACTTATCACACTAGCAACACGTACTTGCTTCGATGTCACCTACGGCGATACTGCTAGGCCCTGGAGGCAATGTCACTTCAGCTTGGACACGGCCAAAGCGATGATCCAGTTCTGTAAGCACAACGATAGCTCCTCAGGGGAGGGAAACGTTTAAGCTATACGTACCATTATGCACTCACGACTCTGAAATCTGAATCTAGACCAAAGTTCATACCCTCTTGGCTCTTACAACTGGAATGTGCATCTGCTCATTGAATTTGCAGATCGTAGCGCTTTAAACATCTGGAATTCTGGATGGTTCTTCACTAGGGCCATGCTTGAAACAGGCACTGCAGTGTTGTCAGAGCCATTACTTGGATCATTTTAGGTGATCCTGTGACTTTCTTAAGGAAAAACCTGCTGGCAGATCTAGGCAAAGAACCACCAACACTGAATTGGAGAAGTAGGGTTGTCCGGCGACATGAGGCCCTAGCGCGGTGAGCATGCTGCTGACTGGATGCTTGTGCCGTGTTAAGTCCTTTGACTTGACCCACGCTGCTGACAGCACTTCTTGGGCCACATTTATGCAAGCACCGCCCGGCCCATCGATGAAAATCCTTTCAGACCCAACTTCTGCGCTAATGCTACTCCGTCCTCGACTCCTCGCACCTTGCCGACGCCGCCAACTCTGCCGAGCGCCGCACTTTGCTGTTGAAAGGTCGCTGCAGTGTCGGTAGTCGGTGGAGCAAGAGCAAGCGGAACAGGCTGAGCGGGGCGTGCTCCCATCGGGGTCGGGATCTTCTCCTCTCTCCTCCAACTCCAAGGCTCCCAGCAGGCCAGCACGAGCAGCCGGTTGATGCGTCCCCCGTGGCCTTGGCTACTGTTGTCTCTTCGAATTGGTAGGCTCCCTTGCCACATGGTCATTTTCAATGGAATGTATTGCTTCAACTCTTAGTCTATTACGGATAGTTGGTTGAAGATAGGTACTAGTCCACGTGCGCTCTCAATGTTACAGAATTATTAGAAGTCTAAAATGCGTGAAGCTAATTCGGATTTTCCATATGCAGATCAGTTGCATCTGTAGGATAGAGACATGGAGTTGTATTTCATATCTGCAAATACAGTTACGAAGTTCTGTGTTGAATGCATATCGACCGTGCTATTGATACTGTCCTAAAAGGACATTGAAGGGAAGAGTGAGTTCCTGTTGTCCGGAGTGTCAATTAACATTAGTCATGCTAATAATTGGCAAAAAAAAAAAAAAAAAACAAAGAAGAAGTGCAGCAGCATGTTGCAGTTGAAATCACGCATTAGTCAGATGGCTACTGGAACCACTGATTAAGCCATTGGCAACTGATCAAATTATCATTGGACTCATCGACAGCCATGACTATTTTGTATTTTCTTACACAACCTTATCTTTAATACAGTGACTTGATGTTATATGCATCTAAATAAATACGGAGGTATACAAGCGATGTGGTCTACAATATCTTGTGCATACACATAAAACACATCTATGAGATACAATCTCATCCAAATATGCTAAATATAACATAGCTTCCCCGAAATATATTATATCTCAAATGCATTAGTATCTAAGCAAATCCCTTTATTATCTAGCGCAAATGTAGTTAGCGTGGCCTAAATGAAGACACATATTCTTGCTCCAAACTGTAGCACCTAGAGGTCTCGAGGTATTATATGGGTAGCATTAACTAGGTTGATATGTTCGAGTGAATTCTTAGCTTCTGCACATAGAAAAGGCTCAATATCTCCTTCTTTTCCATGTAAATGTTGTCTTTTTCTCAGTCTCTTTGTTCTTAGGAATTGTAACCTCATCTCTACTTCTTTCATAGTCGGTTGCTCTCCTCCTTTGACCCTTAAGCATGCTTCTGTAAGTAAGGCAATTTCACTAATCTCTTCCTGGTCTGCTTCTTCCGCAACTTGAGTATCCATTGTTTCAATAAGAGACCCTTGGTGAAGTCCTTCAATGAAGAAATGCGACAAGCTTTGCTTTGCACCTAAATCATTAATAAAAATTAGCTTCTTTCTTGTTAAAAGTTCCACAAGTATTACTCCAAAACTATATACATCACTCTTCGCCGTTAGTTGACCGGTATGATAATACTCTGGATCCAAGTAACCAAATGTTCCTTGAACAATTGTCACCACATGGGTCTCATCAAGTGAAAGAGATCTTGAAGCACTAAAATCTGAAACCTTTGTGGTGAAGTTGTCATCCAAGAGTATATTTGAAGACTTTACATCTCTGTGAAAAATTGGTATTGTAGCTGCTGAGTGTAGATAAGCCAGAGCTCCGGATGCTTCCACTGCAATCCTTATGCGACCATCCCATGAAAGCAAGCATTTTACTGTAGTATCCCTGTGAAGAAGTTCATACAGAGTGCCATTTGAAATGAACTCATAGACAAGCAAGGGCACTTCATCTTCTAGGCAGCAACCAAATAGTTTCACCACATTACGATGGATGATTTGAGACAAAATGACAACTTCGTTTATAACTTGGTCTATCTCTGTTTGCTCCACTATTTTGGATTTTTTAATGGCTACCACACGTTGGTCTGATAGAATCCCTTTATGAACTGTTCCATGTCCTCCACGACCAAGAACATGGGTAGCATCAAAATTATTGGTCGCCTCCTTTAGTTCCTCCAATGAGAATATCTTTGTTTTGCTTGTAGCACTTTCTTCTGAGATTAGTTGCTCCAATAACAGACCTTGAGTTTTCTTGAAGTATGCTCGTTGGATTCTACTTTGGATGCCTTTTTTCCACTTATTGGCAATTATAATTATACCCAAGGCAATAAATATGGATCCAATGCCACAGCTAGTTCCAATTGCAATACCTATATGCACTTGCTATTGTCATGAAATCATGTTAATGATTACAAACTATAATTTCAAGGGAGTTTTGTTTGCTATGGCTTACCCAAAAGAAGATTCCGTTGTTTAGCTGATGTAACACACCTCCTCTTGATGAAATCAAATTCTTGGGTATGAGAGCACGGTGTGCACCTATAGCTTCCAGGAATGTTTTGACATGTACCTTTGCAGTAGTTTGGCAGTGAGCATTCATCAATATCTGTAGACAATCAATTCTCGTTATTCATTATATATGTTGATCATCATAATATGTGGTTGCATACTTGCATAACAAGCTGATGAAAAGGAATCTCCTGTCTAAATCTGCCTAGTCTAATTTAGCTACAAATTACAACTTTGTTGGAGTATGTGAATTTGTTAATTTTCTTTCCATTTTCAGGTGTGAACTATGGTACTGCTGTAGCACATACTGAAGGAGGAAAGGTATATACCTGTGCAGCCATCCTGTATATACGGATTTCCTGAGTAGCCAGAAGAACACTTGCAACGATATCATCCCATAAATATTTTCCCATGGGTCACGTTTTGGCAATCACTGTTTACACTACGGCATGCATAGTTACTACTTCTCCTATGCATAGCTTGTTCACAAGATGAATTTGTAACTGCCCATCGTATAACAATGTCGTATTCCATAGAAAAATCAAATTGGTCTTCCACAGGGGCGCCGTAGAGGTACACTCCTCCCCTTTCGTTGGCCTGAACTATTATTACTTCTTTCCCGGAGCTAGCATTGTTTAGCACGTTGCTAACCATCAGAGTCCCATCTTCTACTGACAGACCAGTCACGTGATACTGTGTATCTTCTTTCCCGGAGCTAGCATTGTTTAGCACGTTGCTAACCATCATAACAGGCTGATGTTGTGCTAAAAAGCGTCTCATTTGCGGTGGTACAGTTAAGTCGGAACCTTTGGTTTCCGAAACAATCTTCTTCAAGCCCGAAAGGGAAGGGAATGGAAATGTTCCCACGTGACCTCTGGCAGTGTTCTTTAGGCTTGGGGTTGTAATCTGCTTCATAATAGTAGATTGATAGAGTTAGGACATAAGATAAAACATTAATATTTCAATTTTTTTACATAAAGCAAGCAGGGAGAACCTTGCATGCATCCTTCAGAAAGGTAAGCATTATAATTATAATAATTATTATTGTTGTAGCAGTAGCAGCTGTAACCTCCAGAAAACCCATTTTCACAAGAGCTGCCCGTGGCACAGGCATAACTTGTGTTGTTCATTTGCGGACTTTCGCAGCTTGGTTGGTCCATGATGGCAACCTCAAGTTCAGCATCAGAAATCTTGCTTGCATTTGTCCAACTTGAGAAAAGAACAGTCGCATCTTGCATGTAATGTTCTTTTGACATGAAAGCCATAATGCCAGGGTGCAGAGGATCTGACTGTGCTGACATATTGCCAGTCCGAACTATTGTTCCCTGAAAGCCTGAGGTCCAGTTAACCCATTGCAAGGCCCTTGATTCGGCAATACCTTGCCGTGGCACCTGCTCATGCAGGAGCCGATTGGGTTCCTTACATAATCGAACAATTCAACATCGAAATCGCAGCCAAGGAAGAAGAAAATGTCATAACTGTAGATAGTAATTCCCTTAGTGGGAGCATCCCAAGATATATTGTAGGTGTTCATACTAGATTCTTCCAAGTTAGGAGTATAGTTGAAGAACACAGCATGGGTGTAAATTGTGGTACTGGTACCATAAATGAGATCGATCAAATGAACATGGTTCCATATGTTTCAGCTGTTGAAAGCTGGATGAGTGTACAAGTACAAGTAAGAACTTACCCTGACGCAGTTTACGTATCCGGGATATTTTGGCAGAAGTCCAGTCCAAATAAAGATCACTGGAATGGAGATGAAAATGTCTTGCAATTTTGTAAAGTATCATATGCCTCATGCTCAGTAAGAAAGAACAAGTACTCTCAAATAGTTGAGCGTACAAATGTTAAGTTTTGGCGAGATGTATAGTGAAATCCACAGCAGTTGCTAACACCAGCAGTTGGAGTATTATTGTGAAAAAGCTCCAAAGAAACAGTTGTGGTGTCATCAGTGATGCATACCATAGTATAGCTTGACATGAGGCTTAAGGAACAGGCAAAAGGAGGTTAAGAGAATTTGTACCTGGATTTAACAATGGTAGACAACAACAATAACCATTTAAAATAAGTTAACTCCTAAGACAACAGGTCAAGTGTGCTGTCAAACACATTGACACTAAGTTATATGGTGTAAAGGAGAAAATCCAGAATCATTTTGAAAGCATTGAGCACATAAGTACCGAGTAAGTACTTGCGGATCCGCTTATCAAAGGCTTACCACCCAGTGCGTTCAGAGAACACATCGTCGACATGGGTTTACGGGAAAGTCTGATTTCTGGATACTAAGGGCCTAGTTGAGTATCTGTTTCAAAACAGAGAGATGCATTGTAGCTGTTAAATCTAATGCCAACTGACCGTGACGATGAGGCACGCTCTATGCACTGATTTGTGATGGAATGGGAAAAAGAAAGAGGAAGTTAAGTTTAAGACATAAGGTGAGATCAAGGGGGAGAATGTTAGGTTGATCGTCACCAATTGGGGCCAATTGGGCCCTTGATCTGTGCCCTGATCGGGGTCGCTCAGCCTTTCTACTGGCTGATGGGCTCCCGTCGCGCAGCGTCATAAAAGGACGGTGGGGGCTGGGGCACAAGACATGAGATTCACCACAGCCGCCAGCCCCACCGTGATGTCCTAACCCCAGTCCGATCTAGAAAGGGGAGCTGTAAGCGACGGGAAACGCCATCGCCTTCGTCGCCGCCACCACCGCCTCTGCGCCATGCCGGACGTCTACACCGCGCCGGACGCTACTGCTTCTCCTACCCCGACACCCTCTGTCACGACTACGCCATGGACGGCTTGTCATCCTCCAAAGCCGACGGTCAGATACACCTACACACATCTCCCTCTCTCGCTGTCTCCCTCTCCTGACTTGTGTTCTAGGCCGATTTTGAATCAACCAGTAAGCGATTCACCCTCCTATCTACACCTAGATGATCCCTAGGGCTTAACATCTATATGCATAAAAAGTATATTATGTCACCTTAGTATTTATATATTGGAGTATAGATAGATTATTAATGAGAGGCTAATAGAGATGCTCTTAGTCGAGTCAAGTCTGTCGCTTGAAACATCTACCACCATTAGAGCCCACTAGTTCATCATGATCGTTTGTAGGTATGGAAAACGACAAAACCAAAGTATCACGACTAAGTGCCCCATTGCTTCTCAGAATTTTGTGTGTCATTACGTTAGACATGACTCTCTAGTGGCTTCCACTTTGTCTGAAAACATATCAATGGCCTTCAATTCAAGGTAGAAAATTAGTACATTTTTCACTCTAATCCATATGGACTGAGAGGATCAGTTTATGAAAAGGATGCCTAAATAGAGAGCGGGCACCTACCATGATGCACTCACGACTCTGAAATCTGAATTTAGAACAAAGTTCATAACTTCATATCCTCTGAGAACTGAAATGTGCCTGTGCTTAACATTGGATTTGCAGAGTAGTGATTTAAACATTTGGTTACACTTGCAGGCACTGCAGTGTGGTCAGAGCCATAACTTGGTGTGGGGGTATTGACCCCTATACCCTTACGGCTAAGTTTGGGCCGACCTGGATCAGGAGGTCTGGCCCAACAGGAGACGACGCGCGGCCCGGTCGATCTGGTCGGAGTCCCGCGCAAGGAATCAAGACAGACCTGGAGATCAAGCAGGGTCCTGGTCAGTTAGAATAGGAATCCTTATCTGGCCACCTATGGCAATTGTAACTGGCTAGGATTAGTTTCCAGATCTGTAACCCTGCATCCCAGACTATCTAAGGCGGGCAGGGGACCCCTCTAAAAATCATCTCTCATTGACATATAGTAATACAATCAGACGCAGGACGTAGGTGTTACGCCCTCACGGTGGCCGAACCTGGATAAAACCTCGTGTCTGTCTTGCGTTACCATCTTGTTTGTAGCTTGCGCATCTGTCTGCCGATAATCTACTACCTTGGGTATACCCCTGGGTAGACTACCGACCATATTTCGTCGACAGTGGCGCGCCAGGTAGGGGGTGTGCGTACTGCTCTCCAAACGAACAAGATGGTCTTCATCCCCGGTTCCATGGCTACGCCGAGCGGCCTCACGTTCACCATCGGCCAGATCACCTGGACCACTGGCTCCGATGATTTCATCGCCATGACCACGGAGGAGGCGCGGATTCAATCTGCGTCGACCACTTCTTCATCTACATCGGCTACGGCTCCGACCACGGTGGATCTGGCTCCGACCACGGTGGATCTGGCTCCGACCACAGTGAATCTGGCTCCGACCATGTCAGCATCGCCTTCAGCCACGCTGATAACTCGTTGTCCGCTTCCTCGCTACAACAGGAGGCAGATCGACAACACCGACCTGCTCGACTCCATCGATCGGGTCGGCACCAAACTTGCCGAAACCCTAGCTCTGGTAAGTTTGATTCAAAGTCAACCTAATGAGCAGGTAACCACTACCCACAACAGATCTACCCGACCAGCTCAGGCCAGTTGTTCCGCACGACTCGGTACGGATCTCGTGGTCTCCGTTCGACGCCAGCCAGCCCCCACGACGGGTCTCTAGCTCTCCGAGTACGAATCCTCGATGGAGAATTACCAGGCTCAGCCTCACGACCTGCGAAACACTGCTTCTAGCTACGCGTACAACATACAACGCTGCTTGGATCTGTGTCTCATACATCGACCTCGGCCAAAGACACGCGACTTCGTCAACATGGTCCGGATTGAAGGATATCAAGAAGGATCGGTCCACACAGTTCAAGAGGGTGGCTCAAGCTCCCCGTCCGGTGCCGCATCTAATGCCTCCGTCCACACCGAGCTCCAGCATCATGACAATGAAGGCGTCGAATACGATCTGGATATCCCAGACCACGCCCCGGGCTTTCCGCGATTCCCGTCCTTCCCGCCAAGGCGAGTAGACTTGGTCAACGTCGTCAGTAACGATGAACCACCGGCAGTTGGCGAAACAGAACAAGAAAGGCTGGCACGTGAAGCACGCAATATCGATCGGTTTAATCGCCGACAAATCGAAGCCGAGGCGGAAGATGAGGCACGACGCATAAGGGTCCAACCACGCGACCTTAACAATGCCTTTGACAGGGTGGGGGACAAGCAGGTCTTCAGGACTCCAAGCGCCAACGTAGCTGTTGCTATGGCGACAATGCAACGGCTGCCCAACACTCCGGAAATCCAAGCAGTTCGTGACGATATACAAGCTTACCTGACG